GCATCCCCATACATGTACAGTAAAATTTTACATTATACTGTCTGCTCAAACAACTCAGTCTAGTGCAGAATGAATCATTAATCATCGTTTCATTTCTGTTACTGTTCACTAAACTTTTCAGGATACTGAAATATGGCTTCATACACCAAAATAACACTAATATCCTAAGCACCACTAAGGTGTTAATGTAGAAGAATATAAGAACCAAGTCTACTTTAGTCATTGTTGGGTATGGCTGCAACAACACACACCATGTACATACATATATCAACCTCACACCCAGTTTAGGATCGGCATCACTGATATCATCCCCTAACAGCCGCCTTACTGATTTCCACAAAAAGGTTATACTGAATGGAATAAGAACATCATAAAGCACTTTTTAAGATGGACTATCTGCTAAAGTGTGCACGGGGTGATGAGGTGAACTGAAGGAATCCGTTACAAACCAGTCAGTAATCAGAGGTATGTATGAGTAGTTCTATAATTTATATGTGTTATGTGTGTGGTTTGGTTTTAAAGGTCTTAATACCATACGTCCTTATAAAGTCTACAATAAATGTTGTCCCCAGAGCTTTCCAAGGACATATTCTTTTTTTCACCCGTAATTATTCTTCCCCTTTAGGCTATTTGCCTTTTCTCTGTTTCTCTCTTTTCCCACAATCCCTTTCTCCCTGTGAATCTGTCTGCTGTAAACCAAGATCAACTCCTCTGTTTCTCACTTTCACAAAAGACTAATTTTTCTCATTTCAGTTCATCTCTTGGTTTATATGAATTATTAAAGAGCCATTTGTGTTACACAGACTGAGTGGGAGCTCCCAAACCTGTCATCACTCAGCCTTTGTTTACATTGAGCTTTCTGTGTAACAAAACCTGTATATGTTTGTTTTCAGGGTCCATATAGTACCCATGTTGTAAAGTGCATTTTTATTGTGTGCTTGTGTGTGTGCAACAAGGAATTGCACTAGGTTTGTGTATTTATCAGAGTCCTGCACCAGATGAAGTACCTGCAGGTACCCGATCGGTAACACAACAAAAATGAGATGTAACAGGTAAAAAGTCAGTTTACATTAATTAATGGATATGGGCATGGGTGAAACAGGACAAAAAGTGGGCAGGCAGCGAGTACAATAAAATGATTAAAATTAAAATAAATAAATAATGGCACAACATCTTTTAATTTAACCCAGCATAATTTTATCAAGCTTAAATAAGAGATGCAGGCTTTGTGAAGGCACAACCTTTGACCTGTCAACTCACCTCCTACACTAAGTCCTTACATGTCTCTGTTGACCATCAAAGATTCTCCCTCTTTTTTCTCACATAGAAAATATAAGGTTTTCAGAAGCTCATTCAAATTAGGAACACTGTATTTTGATTCAGTCTATTAAAGGCTTACACACAGAGAGCCATCATAAGATGCTATGTACTGCACATCATCTTCCAACACCAAGCTGAACTCAGCCTCTAGGACAACCACTTCCACTTCAGACCTTTGATTAACAAGATCCCAACATGACCTGAAACCATTTAGGGGGCAAAAAAGTGATAGTAAATGGCAACGCCACAAAGGAGTGGGACAGAATTTATGCCCCAAAAAGCCCAGAACCACAGACTGAAAGAAAACAGACATGGGCAACCACATTGGGCAAGCCCTCAGAAGACATAATAGGGATGATTACTACAAAATCTGACACAGAAAAATACTGGCATCCAGCAATGTACCCACAATCATGAGTATGTGATGCAGACACATTAAAATGTGCACACTAACGCTGCTCTCTTCTTTTCTCTGAATCAAAAATGCTTAAAGACGAGCCATTTGTTTTCTGGACCATTCAGTTTGATGTCTTCTTAACTTATGTAAGATTAAGTAATAGCAAATAAACTTCATTCTGCTGTTTAATGAAGTTTGTCTAATTAGTTTGCAATAATCAATATAGCAGAAGTGATTAAAATACTGTACATGCAGTAAATAGTGTATATACTTCATGGTATAATTCATGGTTTAATTTTAAGTATAATCCAATAATGTACAGTTTGTACTAATTTCACAAATTGGCTTAAATGAAGATGTGGACCAAATGTGTAAAAGCATTTGAGCAGAGGTAGGTAAGATATTTATGGCTGACAAACCTCCAGAGTGAAAGGAAGTCCTACTGTGGTCAGATGCCTTCCCATTTGCCAACCTGCTCATCTTACTTCAATTTTTATGCATTTATTTAGTTTCATATCTCAGTCCTTAAGTTGTACAAATTCTTTGATGTTGCTATTTTCTCCCCAAAAATGTAATAATTTGTGTTTAACTACAGGGGTGTGTATCTCTCCCTTTCATGTGATTTGACCCGTATCTCAATACATGGTCCATGACACAGATACATTTGTAATGATACAATACAGTACAGTTCAGAGCGATGTCAGTTCTATTTAGATGACATTCAGTTTTAATTTAGCTTCCATTTAACTATGCATATATGACAGGTTATGTAGACAATTTAAAAAAGTCAGTGTTTTCTCAAAGCTTCTTTGTATTTTAAGCACAAAACATGATGTCTACACTTTTCAACAACAGTAAACCAATGGGTGTGTGTGCACAGTAAATCTTTATACTGTCCACCTGCTGCTTCACCTTGTCACACAGTGCTACAGTATGATGCAATTTTTCAGTGAAATGCTGCAGACTTGTTACTGTGTACCTCTGCTCCAGAGTCATTATCATTTGTCTCAATCCCACATTTTCAACAACAATATACGGGTGTGTCCTTGTAAATGAAATAGCTGATAGCTGCAGTTATCACTGCTTGCCTCAAGCTGACTGCTCCCACAACCATACTGTGGCCTCGGATCCATCACTGTGTTTTATGGGCATGTGTATTATTGCATGATTAATATTACACAAATTTATCATTTTCTACATCTCACACACACACACACACACACCAAGTTTATACCTGCTTATAAAGGTTGGTTTTAAAATAACACAAAAGCTGCAGTGTAACTGCTTAGAGAACTGCTTTACTTTTCAAGTCATAAACCTTTTTTACAATTTTGTCTTAGTACACGTGTTGTTCTTCAGTGGCATGTTTCCAACTACTGAGCTGAAAGCAAAAGCCCTCCCGGTTTTATGCAGACATACACATTAAATGAACTTATAGTACATTAATTTCCTGGAGACTTTCCTTAAACCAAGTCATCTCTCTACAATTTAATGATTGACATTTGGGGGACTTGTTTTTTTGTTTGTTTCTTTGTTTGTTGTCCCCCAAAGGAAATTCAACTTCCCACAATGTGTGTAAAAAGATTTATGTCCCCACAGCATGACTAACAATAAACACACACACCGAAAGCTATACGGGTTTATGTGCGCCCACACATTGTGATGCATTTGGTAGAAGCTCATTTATAAAATGTGAAAAGCAGCTGGGTATGGAGTACCCGCAATTACAGTGTCATCTCTTTGGACTCAGCAAAAGCAGAGATAACAGGTACTTCCTACAAACAACATAAAAATCTAATTATCTGACACGTCTCCCTACCGTTCTGCATGTGCTTATTAAACGTTCAACCTGCAAACTGATAACAGCACATTTGAGGTAACATAAATCTTATTTAAAAACATGTATTTTTGCATATAATCTCAAGAGACACACATTTTTGATAAGCACATAAGCCATGGTACATGATACTTTGCATCACACACACTGCGACTGGGTAAAGATGAACAGAAACCAGACACACACAACACACATCTTTTGCAACACATACACACAAACACACAGCAGTGAGAAAAAAGTCTGTAGCAGAATCACAGACAAAAACTGGTCCATGTATGGTAAGGAGTGGACAATGGATGACGACACGGTGTGGGCATTAATGGTATAAAAGAGTTGTAACTGCACAATTTTCTTCAGTTGTGTTGATGAACCAACTCCAGATCTTTTTGCATATAAAAAAAGGATCTGAAATATAAAATCCTTCTCTCTGAGCAAAGACCTTTCCATGACAATATCCAAACCAGCTTTTTAAGTTCTATCCTGTCCATTATTTTTTCTATCCTACATATGGAAGACTTTGACACGATAAAAGCAAATGCATGCTACACAGAGCATGTGTACGCACAAATATTGTGTAGATGCTTTACAGTAGCCAGCACATAGTAATTTTATGGTATGACATGAGTAAACTCCTCACACAAAAATGCACTGAGCAACACACATAGCACGAGCTCTTAAAATGCCATCCATTACAGCAATATCAGCTATCATAAAGGTCAGCACACAATAAGTGAAATGGGAATGCGGTGTTCCAAAACCAATGACCTGCAAAGAAAATGCCAAGCACATTTAGCGAGACCTCATACTGTACACAGCATCCCTTTCAATCCGCAGGATGGAAAAGCTTCTCTAAGCCTGACAGTTGGTATAATGGGGTGGCCTGGTGTGTCCGTGTGCTGCCTGCCTGTCTGTCTGCACATCAAATGAATCACACAATGACAATTAACATGCCTGGTTTTAGAGTCAGATGTGTTTATTAATCAGCTCCAGTATGCCAAGCTACAGCAGGCATTTCTCTAACTTTTTGTGTGTGCTTTATCCAACTATATACAAAATGCTTAATCTGCAAAAAATAAAAAATCCTGAGGCAAACAGTAGGTTTGTTTACACTAGCTGGGGTGGCTGCTATAAAGCATCTACTGGCAAAGTTCTGAAAATAAATAAATAGAAATACAACAATTCCCGACCTAGAATGAAATCCTTCAAGAGAAACTGTGGATAAACATAAAAATAAAAGAACTCAAATGGAATGCGGTTTGTACCTTTATGCAATTACATTTTGTCTGGTTGGGCACTTCTCCTTTACTATGAATAAAATTAATAGCACAAAAAGGGATTTATATAATTGGAATTTAAAAAGACATTTCAGATCAGTAGGCTGTCTCCCTGTAGCGCTCCCCAAACACAGACACGCACACAGAAAGATGTTGATAAGAACACTTACGTTCTCCACTGTCAAGTATTCCTGATTCCTGGAGGGAGCGAATACAGGAATCCACCAACTCCAAACCTGTGGTCAGCTCATCCTCAATATCCTTTTGTCCATCTGCTGTAGAGGATAAAAGAGAATGAGAAATGAAGAGAGAGAGCGAGAGAGGAAAGAAAGACAGATGAACGAGCTCTCTCGGGTAATCTGACTCCTCTGATCTCAAAATTATACTGTAAAACATATAACATACTGTATAACCCTCCACGTTTTAACTTGGGTATGAACTATAGAACATTTGATTATATACTTGAAAGCACCCTGATAAATCCACCCTGGGAGTTACCTGTCTGGAAAGCCTTTTAAAATGTGTTATCGATTCAGTGTTAAGTGCTTAAGTACTGTTCTTGAAATTTGTGTGTATGCGAGCAGCAGATGAGTGAAACCAACAGGCAGATTGTATGCTTACTGTATAGTTCTTACACTGACCACCAACACCAACAGTGTCCTCAGTCTGACACCACTTTGAACAACTGATGTGTGTGTGTGACAAGGCTCCTGTGTGAGTGTGTCCTCTCTTAATCCATCAGGCAACTGTGAGGTATGTGGGTGGGTCTGTCTGCCCATAAGTCACTGTAATACAGGTATAAATTCCAAATGTTCCTTGATACACAATTTTCCTACTGTGCCAGTCAGACACGAGGCAGAATGAGCCCTGTTGGTGTCAGGGCAGCAAATTTAATCCATCAACTAGCAAATATGGCAGAGACTTCCTCAGAATTTGGAAGCAGCCAGAGCTTTCACATTCACCCTAAAACCTCAAAGGCTGTGTCAGCAGTAGTATGCATGATCAGTCAAGGTTTTGAGTTTAAAAAAATAAAAAAATAAAAAAGGTTTGAATAGCCAGTTCGTGCAACAATACTTCTACATCCATTGGTGGGCAGTATGTGCATGCGTATGCCTGTATAAAAACATATGATCATTACCTGGGACATTCCAGCGAAACTGCTCATCCGCTGAACTGCAAATAAAGAACATAGTAAATGATCAACCTATTGAAGCAACAATAACATACAAAAGTGCAGAAGAGCACTCACATTTTTAAGTCAACAGCAGATTACAATAAAACAAAGTAGTTTTTTCAGTTGCTACCAAAACAATGACACACTTTGCATAATTACAAAAACTGACACTCAGGGAGAAAAACTCAGCTCAACTTTAAACACATTTTCTGGTTTGCACCTAAGTCAGTTAATGTAAATGAAGTGTGCACCATTTGATTCTGGTGTTTTTTCCAGTTTGTATGTAATGCTTCATTTTGCAGGGTGTGTCAGGTGCTTTGCGTTTTGGGTGAGTGGTTCTGTGAATTGTTTAGAGACAATGAGTCATGTTGTCAAAATTATGTTAGCAACTGAAAAAATATGAGGTAATATATTCAACATAAGAATAGAGACAAGTCACTTTGCAGTTCTTATTTGTAAAGGAAACATTCAGTTACGACCTTGAACTCAATGTTCACTGGCATTGAATAGAGGGTGTACTTTCTATAATATTTGTAAAATATTTAAAATATTTACCTAAAGCAACTGTCAATGTCAAATTAGTTTCATGTTCTATTCTGCTGAATTCTGAAAAAAATGTGTTTGATCTGTAAGTGTGATACATGTGTGTACTGTTTATGTATATTTACTGTAAGTGAGGGGGTGAAATGAAAACCACCATTTATAATGGGGCTTTACTTTCATGTATCTACTGAGTCTCAAAGATTCTTTGATCTCACATATATAGATTTTACAGCAGCTCAGTCAAATTATGAATGTCATATTTTAGCACTATTTTGTTGCTGCACAACAAACGTCCAGCACCAAACAAACTCCTCCAGCCTCCAAGTCAATGCATTAAATGCAGAGTATCATTCCAAAATGTCCAGTTTGTGTTAATATTTGTGAATTATTTATTTTACTCAAAGCACCTGCAAATGGGCTAAATTTCATCATTAATGTTCTCGTCTGCTGAATTTTGAAAAGGAAAAAAAAAAAAGTAAACAGCAAAATAATCAGAAATCAAGTAAAACTCACTCCTAAATGTCATTTCACTTGAAAGCCAGCCCAGGCCAATTACACAAAACTGTAACATTTTATAAGATGAAGTCCTGTGCCCTCGGGTAACAGTATGCGCGCGCGCACACACACACACACACACACACACACACACACACACACACACACAGGTAGAAAGGCAGTTATGTGGAATACTAAACAGTCTGAATGGGACAAACATGGACACAAGCCAAGTAATTCAGACAGCCAGTCTAGTAGTTTAGATGAAGTCAGACACAGAGTCTATATATGTGTCAGTTTGTCTTTCTGTGTGATGCATCTCTAACTTTCTCTTTATGCCTGTCTGTTTCCTTCTCTGCCGTCTTTTCTCTCAGGTCCAGGGGTTAGGGTCTCTCTTGTCATGGAATCACACAAAGTGGAGGTTGTAAAGGCAACTGTGGCTATAAACTGCATAGCTGTTTAGTTAACACAAAAAGACAGAAGAAGTGATGTTAATTGCAAGTAAAGTCTGTTTACTTCTTATTTGATTCTACATATTCTTTCCCAAAAATTTCTGATTTTAGACAGTTTGACTGGCTCCTGTTATTACAACACCTCAAAGCAGGTTTACCAACCTATACAGTGCATGCATGTGTACAGTATATATCATCAGAATACTCAGCTTGAACTAATGTATCCAAGACAAAAAATAAACAAGCAATGTTTCTGTTGGTATGGTAACCTTGTAGTGATACATACAGTACATGCCTGCGGATATGAAGTTCATACTACTCTTTGACTTGATAGTGTAATGGAGAGGTTTGGGGTACAAAGGTTTTCAGTTTTCTTTTTTTTTTTAACTGATAAAAACTAGTAAACGCAATGATAATGCATTTATGGTAAAAGTAACAAGTCCTCTGGAAAGGAATCCCAGTCGCCACATCCTTCATGACTCATTAGTCCCCAGCCTGGAGAGCATTGCTCTGAAACGGTTACAGTGGCACACAGTTACACACAGCTCAAATCCTCAAACCACCTCCTTTCACAGATAGTTGCACTTAAGAACACTTGCCTGTTCTGATAAGACTGTCGGTGTGCATGTGTGTATGCACTCTCAGCAACTACACATGCACACATCCAGTCTCCTCTCACATAACACAAAAATATACACACAAGCACACATACAGGTAAAGCATGCACATTCTGTACTGAGCAAATATAAATGGCCTTTTGCTTACTAGAATTTGTGCACAGACACACATTTGCATACATACTGTACACACCAAGACCAACACATACAGATATACTGTAGATAAGTATAATAAATACCCACATATATACTACATAAGGTGCCAAAAGTGCTTTACATCTTTGATACTGTATATGCTGCCCTATTGAGCTGTAGAGGGTGATAAATGTCAGGCTTGGCAGGATATCCTGGGCTACAGCATTTCATTATTACCAGCATTAACACAGGACCGTGATAGACCATAAAGTCATTTACTTAAGCTTCAGCAAGAAGAAGTAACACTAAACACACCCTGCAATCTAGCTTTTGAAAACTCTGTGTGTGTGTGTGTGTGTGTGTTTGAGGAACCAGGGATATCAATCAATTTCAATTTCCAGTGATTATTTAGCAAGTATAAGATAGGTTGTAAAAACTAGCCCTGTTAACAGAAAGTGACAATGGCCCTGTAACAGCATGTCTAATATATTACAGCACAGGGAGACAGAGAAGCACTTGTTCTGTTGAGAGGAATAGAAAAGACTAAAAATAAATTCCCATGAATGAGACAGACCTCTTTCAGTATCACAATTTTAGGTTAATAATTTTTAATCTTTGGATTAGATCCGGTGACAACGAGCGGTACAGATCGAAAGCACAACACAGAGACTGCCTCACCTTTTACTTTTCTTCAAATAAAATCTAATGCCATCTTAATAATGTCACATGTTATAATTACATAAAACCCCCATACACAGTGTTTTTAAAGAGGTTGTCAATATAGCCATCTAGAATAAGTTATAAGTCAGTAAAGCAGGGACTGAGATGGTCCTGCTTGATCTCTTTAAGGCTAACTCATTCATCATTTCCTCAGATGTCAAATGCCAAGGCCAGCCACAGCAAACTAGAGCAGCTGATCGAGCGGAAGGGATGACTTTGGAAATGACAGCAGGAACCCACGTTCTGCAGTTGAGGGGTGACACCCCCTCCTAACTAAACTCCACACTTTGTCAGAGAGACTGCTGTTTGAAATAAACCTGAACAATAGAGAACAACTCAAGACAAACAAGGGGGAGACTGGTCATTACAAAGAATCCCAGTGTATTTATTTAGCCTTTTTCATTATGCAATAAGCCTACTAATTAGTGCAATGAATGTCATTGATTGCATCTCCCCTTTGAACATAAACAGTATATAACAAGGTGGCCATGTGAGCAAAACCGAGAAGGATGACATGAGAACACAAAACATTTCCTTAGTTGCCAAATTGTAGTCATGAAAAAACAGCAAAAAAAATACAAACAAACAAAAAAACTAGTGTTGCATTTAGTAAATAATCTTTAAAAAGTGACTTATCTTGCACAAAGCAGGGGAAAGCACTGCATAAGACACCGGAGAGCCCCACACACTAGTTGGTATATTTCTGAAACTGTTGCTTCCATGTGTTCAATAGATGTGTTTTAGATTATAAATTTGGTTACACAATTTTGAATGTAATTATGTACATTATATTAGTATTTTGACTGTTGCTTTAGGCAATCTATATTCTGCTGGTATACTCATGTCTTATGACTGACAGTAACATGGAAATTTTGAGAGATGCCTCAAGGACACTCAAAGCATTTGGATATATGTAGTTATGCATATCATAAAAATCTCTGATTTACTGGTTCACTGGGCAACATCTTGGGCTCTATTTTCTTGCCAGCGCAATTTCTGCATCACCTCATTTGCAGTCCTTATGCAGTTTTCCTCAGGCACATGTCTACTTTTCTTTGCTCATTGGTGCGTTTGGTATTCTCCTCCCGTGAATGAATGCGCTTACGCAGAGGTGGGAGGAGAGGCGCAGTTGAGGCCGTGCGTATGCTAATTAGGCAGTGCAGTGAAATTTTGATGAAACAGCGATAACACCTTCTCAGACCACCTCTTATCACGGTTGCAGGTGCATTTGCAATTTTCCTGACAAGCGCCTAGGCTGGGAAACATAAGATCAGGTGCTCACATGTATTTTAATGGACACACCAACTTAAAATTAACCATTAAATCCACAGTTGATCTGTTGGAGTTCACTCTGAATAATTTGTTGTGTATCGTGAATAATATTTTTAAGTAAGATTAATAAACTATTTATCAAGATGTGGCTATATGCATCAGGACGCACCATCTGTAGCCTACTTACAGGACGCAGTTTGTGTTTGGGAATCCACATCCACGTTAAAAAATTACACATAATAACGTGAAAGCTGGTCATGAGCCAAGATAAATAAACAACTTGCAGACATCAGATTAATCTCACTGGACTCTAGAGCAGTGGAGACATGTTCTCTGGAGTGACAAATCACGCTTCTCTGTTTGGGTTTGGCAGTTGCCAGGAGAACGGTACTTGTTTGACTGCATTGTGCCAAGTGTACAGTTTGGTGGAGGAGGGATTATGATGTGGGGTTGTTCTTCAGGAGCTGGGCTTGGCCCCTTAGTTCCATTGAAAGGAACTCTTAATGCCTCAGCATACCAAGACATTTTGGACAATTTCATGCTCCCAGCTTTGTGGGAACAGTTTGGGGATGGCCCGCTCCTGTTCCAACATGACTGTGCACCAATGCACAAAGCAAGGTCCATAAAGACATGGACGAGTGAGTTTGGCGTGGAAGAACTTGACTGGCCTGCACAGAGTCCTGACCTCAACCTGATAGAACACCTTTGGGATGAATTAGAGTGGAGACTGTGATCCAGGCCTTCTTGTCCAACATTAGTGTCTGA